TGTCTTTCCCACCATGATGGACCCTGTCCCTCTGGAATCTTAGCCAGAATAACCCTTTTCTTCCTTAAGCTACTTCCGGTAATGGTGTTTTATTATAGAAAGAGACAAGTAGGTTGTTCACCATCCTGTAGGTGTGAAGTGGTACCCTAGAGATGTGTTGATGTGCATTCCCTGATGGCCAAGGATACTGAGCATCTTTTCTTGCTTTTACTGGCCATTGTCTGTTCTTTCTCTCTGGGAGAATGCCCATTGCGATCCTTCCTTATTCCACCTTTTGATTGGAATATTAGAATTTTTATTGCTAAATTGTAAGAGTTTCCTACAGATTCTTCGTGCAAGTCTTTTATCTTGTATCTGTTTTAAAAGAACTATCACGCTGGGTGGTGGTGGCACACATCTTTAATCCCAGCACTTGGGAGGCAGAGGCAGGCGGGTCTTTGTGAGTTTGAGGCCAGCCTGGTCTACAACAGCTAGTTCCAGGACATGCTCCAAAGCTACAGAGAAACCTTGTTGGTGTGGGAGAATTGTCTGTATTCTGTCAATCATGTTTTAAATAAATGATGATTGGCCAGGCGGGAAGTATAGGTGGGTAAACCAGACAGGAAGTAGAGGCAGGGCTATGAGAACAAGAAAATTCTAGGAAGGAGGAAGCCCATTTCCTCTGAGTCCTACCCAGATCACTAAAGAAGCAGGATGTGACCTGCCTCACAGAAAAAGGTACTGAGCCATGTGGCTAACATATACTAGAATAATGATGGGCTAATATAAGTTATAAGAGATAATATGAAGCCTGAGCTCTGTGTGATTTTCTTCAGAGCTAACTCTGCGGTAACTGGGCAGGACAGAAACCCCAAAGGTGGCCCACATGCTACACCCTGTCTCAAAAAACCAAAAATAAAAAGAACTATCACATATTTGCTATAAAAACTTACATGACTCTTTTCCCATTCTGTAAGCTGCCTATTTAAAAACATTAAATCTGCATTCAGTGGTCTTGATAGATGTTATTATAGATGTTGTGCCAAGGTTTTCTTCGAGAAAATCAATGCTACCCTGAGATCCAGCTGAGGACCATAATGTAGTGGTGTGTGCTGTTGTCCCAGCCCCTTTGTCACAGGTGGACTCGGTGGGTAATTGATGTTAAGGAGACTCTAATTTGCTCCATTTAATGCTCCAGAATGGGAGTCCTTGCTTTTCTTGCCTCCCATCTCTTCCAAGTCTAGACTGGGAGCCCACCTTCAATTTTCTGAGAGTGTTCTGTGCTATGTATGTTTATATTCTGAAGAGAAAGAACCTAACAAACCATATTGTTCTACGCCCCCCCCATGCTCCCCCATGTCCCCCTCATGTCCTCCAACTCCCATTTATGGGCATTTCCTTCTCTCCTTTCTAAGGCTTACTCTGTACTTTTTACATTCAGATTTTGTTTCTTAGCCACTTATTTTTTTCACACATTACTAGAAAAATCCCCTTTACTGCTCTCTGTTAACACAATTAGTGGTCCCAGTGATGGCTTAGAAATGGATCTTAGTTTTATGTTTTCAGAAATGCTTAAGTCAAAATGGCATGTCATACATTCTTTCTTCCTGTAATGGAATTGGACAAATTAAGCACACTCCCTTTCCCCCCTTTTTCTCTTGCCAGCATTTGATTGGGTGTTTCCCTTCTGCCGCACACAGTCTGGCTTCGCTCTGGTGCCATTGGTTGAAAGCTACTGCCTCCCAGATGATACCCATTAGCTCTCGAGGTCAGCTAGTTCTTAAAGCTGAGCTTCACTTCTGGCTGCCACTGTCTGAGAGAGAAAGTGAATGGGTCAGATCCGCACACGTTTTTTCCTCTTCTAAGAGCTGATCCAGATGAAGGTGACATCCTTTATATTCTGCACCAGCGAGGATGTGTGCGGACACTGGATACTTGGGGATGCTAGGACGAGCCGCCATATTATTAGTAAGTGTTTTAAAAGCAGGCAAGTGGGCCAGTGAGGTAGCTCAGTGGCTGAAAGGGCTTGGCACGAGCTTGACAGTCTAAGTTTGAGTCTCCCAACTCTTGTTGAGGCAGAAGGAGAGAACTGACTCTACAGAGTTGTCCTGTGACCTCCACATGTGTGTCATATGCCCACACATGTATATCATGTGATAACATGCATGTGTAGGTTCGTGTGTGTGTGTGTGTGTGTGTGTGTGTGACAGAGAGAGAGAGAGAGAGAGAGAGAGAGAGAGAGAGAGAGAGAGCCCATGCACACACAACAATAGCAACAGACAAGTGTTTTAGAGCTCACTCGAGGACCTTATCCCCAAAACTGAATCTCAAAGAAGAATGAACGGCTGAGATCTCCCAGGAAATGCAGGCTGAGACCCTCTCCCACAAGTACAAATGACAGTAATGATGTTGGGGAGAACAGTATTTTTGGGATCAGGTATTAAATCTAGAACTAGGAGGCTGGGTAGATGATTCATTTGGCAAAGTGCTTGCCGTGCAGGCCCGAGGACCAGGATTCAATCCCCAGAGCCCACATAAAAAAGTTGGACGTGGTGGCACATGCTTATAATCCCAGAGTGGGAACTCAGAGAGGCTCATTGGCCAGCTGGCCTAGTCTGTTTGGTGCGTTCAACACACACACACACACACACACACACAAAATCATATACACCATATACACTCACCTCCATATGAACAGTAACATAAAACATAAATAAGTAAAGTTGCCTGTAAGACCATGCATTGATGATTTTAATGAATGCCTCCATTCCCCAAATCTGGCGGATGGAGAGGCATAAGGGAATTAATGTCGGTCTGGGCTTGAGCAGGTGTGCTGTTTGTGATGCAGGAGCCCTGGCCTGTTATTCCAGCCTGCTTCTGAGCTGGCCCTAACGCAGCTGTCTCGAGTTGTCTCTGGAACGAGACAGTAAGACGGATGCCTGTACCCACTTAACCTCTTTGAACTCCAATATCTGCACCTGTAAGCCAGGCCCTTCCCCGGCAGAGGAACACCAAATGACAGCTCCGGGGGTGGGTGGATCGGGTGGTGATGTGGATCCACGCACACACACATGCCCACACAGGTGCCACTTTGGCTGTCGCGTAGCAGAGTTGTCAGATGAAACCCAGGGCTATAATACAGTCATTGTGGGAACAGCTGGCTGCTTTCATCCCCCACCCCGGATTGGATCAGTTGCCTGTGCTGCCTAGACGGATGTTTGTAGGATGAAACAGATCCTGTGCAGCCAGCCGTGGTCAAGTGGCCATGTCTCCTACGAGTCCAGAAGAGAGACCCTGATTTCAGTCACACATTCACCCTTTCAGAGTCACAGGCAGGAATAGGATGTCGTTTTGGCCATGTAAGAGAAAGCTCTCAAGTTGTTGGTGGCCCCGACTTTGACCATGGCGACAACTCTGCTGTGGGCAGGAGGGTTCTATTATACTGCTAAGCTCATGGTGGTCCCTGAGTCCTAGTGATGTCATGGGGTTGAGACTCCAGATTGTGCTTGAAGTCTGTTTTCACTGTTTTGAAAATCAGTGACTTTTGCTTTGACAGTTGATCCCTGGGGCAGAGATGTCCCTGCTGGATAAATGGCAGATTCCGGCCACAGCGGGTCATCTCTTGGAATGGCTGACCTGGCCTCCCTAGAGGCAACTTCTTGTTCTGTTACCCTCAATGGGTCCCCCACTCTGTGGACTTACAGCCCATGTCTGTGGACCCCAGACTTTTCTGGCATGGTCACTCCATACTGCGCTGCAATGATTCAGTGGTATTGAGACCCCACAATTCACGCCCTGATCAAGAGCATCCTGCCACACCTGGCCCCGCCGCGAGCTGCCTTTCCTGTCTGGTCTCACTTGGTGGTGGCGGTTCTTTCTTTTTCCTTTTTAGGTTCAGTCCTTCGGGGAAAGGATTGTACTTTTTGTTCTCAACACCATTGTTTTTGGAAGACTGGAGAGAAGTCTGGATGCCGATGACATGTTTTTCTTACCTCACCCGGCGAAGGAGCAAGCTAAGATTCTGTGGCTAGATGGAGCGGCAGTTGGATTTTATTCTGTCAAAATGAAAGGTGAGGGATGTGTGGTCTCTGAGGTACAGGGTGGGGTGGGACACCTTGGATGTCTGATCATCTCTGCAGAACCCCTCAGCATGGGCGTTCTGTGGATTCTTCTGGCTTAGGAAAGCACAGCCAATTGAACTTCTGTATAAATAAGCCCAAAGCATGGATTTCATTTTTATAGTTCTGTAAGCTTTCTCCTTGGTTCCCAGGAAGAGCCGTGTGGCCCGATGACAGTGAACGGTATACATGCCTGAGGCTTCATGCTTTTCCTTTTTCTTAATGCTAACAGTTTGCTGTCAGGAAAATGCTATTGCTAACAGCTGATGTGTGTTCAGGAAGCGCCCTAGATGCCAAGACTTACAGACATTACCTCAGAAGACAAGACAGGGAATTGGCCATGGGAACAAGCTTAGGACACCAGCAACTTCCTTCTAGGGACCTTGGCAAGTGGTTGGCTTTTAACTGTTAAGACGAAGGTGTCTGTCTGTCCTTTCAGGTGTCTGTTTTCTTTAATAGTTTCTTCAGCCATTTAAAGACTGTCACTGTCTGACCCAGCTGGCTCCACCATTGCCACCACTTGCTTCCTATAACGTTATTCATTTTAAGAATTGTTTTTTTTTAAAAAAAGGACATGCATTTACTTGACAGCAGTGGGGTGGGTGGCATAGGTGAGGAGGTCAGAGGTCAACTTGTGAGTCTGTTCTCTCCTCCCACTGTATGGGTTCTGCGGATCAAACTCATGTCGTCGGGCCTGGTTGGGAAAACTCTGAGCATGCTCACTGGCAAGAAAGTGACCAATTTTAGCAACAATTAAATTTCCCGGAAAACCCTCGTGGATGTGCTATTTTTGGAAGTAAGTGTTGTTCTTGGGAGATAAAGAGGCTGATTTTTTGTTTTGAACTATGTTCACATGGTGTGTATCTGTGAGTGAGTGTGTGTGTGTGTGTGTGTGTGTGTGTGTGTGTTCTACTTGCCTGGGATGGAATGAAGTCCCTTCCTTGCTCCTTCCCCAGCTGCCTCCCCTCTTTCTTCTGTCATGTGATCAGATTCTCATGTTTTGTCTGTTTGTTAAATGTCTGCTGAGGTCAGTTGTAGGAGCTTTGGCTCACGGCTGCTTCACGATGGCCGCTGGCCCTGTGATTATAACATGACGGCCACGGGCCCTGTGATTATAACATGACGGCCACTGGCCCTGTGATTATAACATGCATTTATACCTTTTCAAGTTCTTGTATTCCTGATTTATTCACTTTACATAGAGTTATGGGCCCAGAGAATAATTAAAATGTAGGGTAAATGTTTATAATTCATCGTTTGTGAAACATGTTGTTGTCTTCACAGTTCTGTAAGAGAATCGTGTGTAGCCTGAGTGACCGTCCTTGTAGATCTGTGGGAGTCTGGGGTCTCCTGACAGAGCCAGGTCGTACATAGAGTCTTGGTTAGGGACTGACTGGCGAATAAAATGTTGACTTAGAGGAGCTTGTTTTTATTGGATGAGGAATTCAGATTGGTGAATTTCCGTAAAGTCTCTATTATTCTATTTGTTTCTTCCTTCTGATCTTGGCTGATGTAACAGGTTTCTTTTTTAAAAGTTGTATAGAAAACTCACTCAGTTAAATAGTCTGGGGGCTCATAGAGACTGAACTGACAACCAGGAAGCCTGCATAGGACTGACCTAGGCACTCTACATACATGCTACAGTTGTGTAGCTCGGTCCTCTTGTGGAACCCCTAACAGTGGGAACAGGGGTTGTCTCCAACTCATTTACAGGCTTTTGAGATCCTACCCCTCATACTGGGTCACCTTGCCCAGTCTTAATACAAGGGGAGGTGCTGAGTCTCACTGCAACTTGATATGCCATGTTCTGTTGATACTCATGGGAGACCTGCCCTTTCCCAAACCGAAACAGAGAAGTAGATTGGGGGTGTGTGGGAACAGAGGGGGGATGGCGAGAGAGATTGGGAAGGGAGGAGGGACAGTAAACTGAGACCAGGATGTAAACTAAATGAATGAATTAAAAAAAAAAAGAACTACTTTGTACTATCTCCTATAGTCTCCTTTCTCATTCAAACTGCTTTGGAGGCGTTCAACAAGTCTCGTCATTTTCAAGTTCTTTCTGAAATGAATATTAAGACAAACTGATTTTCTCACACTTCTGTCTAACTAGTTAGGTAAGTCCCCCTAGTCCAGCTTTTGTCTGACAGATGTTTGGGGGGTAGATATGGGTCAAAGGTCATTCGTTTTTCCTCAAGATTTAGTCCTTTGAGCTATTTCCAAGGCAAGGGTGTTCAGGCCTCTGGTCACTTAGTGTGCTCTATCCTAATGTGTGGCCTTTGGTGGCAACGGGGGCCTCAGACTTCAACACAGAGCATTGAGCCAGACATGGTCCTTACTTAGCTGCAGCAACAGCAGTGAATTCATCTGGTCCCGAGCTGGATTTTTGTAGCCGCTCACCTTTTATCACTGCTTCAATCCCATTGCTTACGAATGCATCTGTTCAAGTTTTGATTTATCTTTCGATTTAGCTTTGGTATGTCACATATGTCTAGGAACCTATCTATTTCCTCTAGGTTTTCCAGTTTTCTGGAACATAAGTTTTCAGTGTAGCCTTTAATGGGTCTCTGGTTTCAGTGAAATCTATAGTGACCACTCTCTTCCATCTCTACTTTTTATTAGTTTGGGTTGTCTGTCTCTGTGTTTCTCCGCCTTGCCCCCTTTTCTCGTTTGGCTACAGGCTTGTCAATCTTGTTTATTTCCCAAACAATAAACTTTCTGTGTGACTGATGTTCTCTTAGACTCCATTTCAGTGCTGTCTGTCTGGATCTGTATTCTTTAGTGTTGTCCGTTCTTCTTAGGTTTAGATGTTTTTTCTAGAACACTGAGCTACATCATCAGGCTACTTAGTGAAATCTTCTGATTGTTTTCTAGAAGCGCTCAGAGCTCTCCATTCTCTTTTTAAGACCATCTTGGCTGTATCCCGATGGTTCTGGTGAACTGTGATATTGAGACTGTTGCATTGTCCTCTTTGGTTTTCCACTGGTCATTCAAGAGGCTATTGCTCCATCCCCATGTATTTGTGTGGTTTTCCCTACTGTTGACTTCTGTTTTCTTACACAATGATCAGGTAAGCTACAAGACGTTATTCAGATCCTTTTGTGTTGGTGAGGTTTGTTTTGTACCCAGAATGTCCGTCTTAGAAAAGGTTTCATGGGAATATGAACTGAGACAAATATGAACTGTGTATCATTTGGAAAGAATATTATGTAGAAGTCAGGTGAGTTTATTTGCTCTGTTCTGTGATTTAACTTTGAGTTTTCTTTTCCTTCCTTCCTTCCTTCCTTCCTTCCTTCCTTCCTTCCTTCCTTCCTTCCTTTCTTTCTTTCTTTCTTTCTTTCTTTCTTTCTTTCTTTCTGTTGTAACGTGCCAATCAAAGTTTCCCCTCCCTTCCCTCCTCCCAGTTTCTCCCCCCTCCAACTCTGCGTTTTCTTGGCTGACTTCTCAGTGAGATGCCTGTCTAAAGATGAGTGTAGGATATTGAAATCGCTCACTATCATTATTGATAGTGTCTGACCTCTGATGTCTGTTAGTATTTGCATACTGAAATTGGGAGCACTAACTAGTACTAAATGTACTATTGCTATAACCTCTTGATGAATCGTTCCCTTTATTACTACGTAGTGGCATTCTTTCTTCTTCTAACAAATTTTAGGTTGAACTCCAGTTTCATAGTTTTTTGAATGGTCTCATGTACCCAGGAAGGCTTAGAACTCCCACTGTAGCTGAGGGTGACCTTGAGTCTCTGGTCCTCCTATTTCCCTAGTGCAGGGATTATTGACGCCCATCATGAGGCCTGATCCATGCAATACTCGGCAGTGAACCCAGTGCCTTGTGCATGCTGGGCAAACATTATAAGCCCACTTAACTGAATCCTCATCCCTGAGGTCTAGTTTTTATCAGCTACCAGAATAGACCTGGCAGCTTGTTTTCGAGTTCTCCCCACTTGACGGATTGTTTTCCATTCGTTGACTCTGTCTGTGGATATTTTTACCAGTGAGTTGGGTTTCTTGGAGACAACAGATGGTTGGATCCTGGTTTTTAATCCAGTCAGCCAATCTGTGTCTCTTTTTTGTTGACTTGAGGTCATTTACATTGAAAGTTATTAATAGCAGTGTTTCTTGATTTCTGTTCTTCTGTTGGTTGGATTATTGTTTTTCCATTCTTCCCTGTTTATATAAAAAGGTTGCTGGTTCACTGTGGTGGACATGTTGGATTCCTTCCTAGCTCTCCTTGGTTGATCTATTCCTCTCATGAAGTTTATTCTTTCTTGTGTTCTTGTGACGGTGAATTTTTTTTCTCTATTTTTTTTACGATGCTGGACTACCTTGGTGGGGTTTGTCTTGGAATGTCCTTATTATTCTGCCAACTTTTAAACATAGCTTTGCTGACATTATCAGTCTTGATTGGCAGTTATTTATTTTCAGTTCTTGAAATATACCATTCCTGGCTTCCCTGGATTTAAGTATTGCCGGCGAGAGACCTGGTATTTTATGGACATGTCTGCCTTTGTAGGCCAGTTGACATTCCTCCTGGGGAGCTTTCGATCTTGCTTCCTTGTTTTGGAGTTTTGATGCCATGACTATATGATGGGGAGATTTTCTCAGGTCATGCTTCTTTGGAGTTCTAAATGCCTCTAGTGTTTGGATGTGTGTTTCTCTATGTTTGGGACATTTTCTGCTATACTTTCATTGAATAGATTCTCCATGCCTTTAGTGTTTCTGTGAGTTCCTTCTTCTATCTCTTATCTCTGCATTCTTTTTTTTTTCTTCTTCTTCTTTTTTGTCCCCAAGACAGGGTTTCTCTGTAGTTTTGGAGCCTGTCCTGGAATTCCCTCTGTAGACCAGACTGGCTTTGAACTCACAGAGATCCGCCTGCCTCTGCCTCCTGAGTGCTGGGATTAAAGGCACGTGCCACCACCACCCAGCCTATCTCTTCATTCTTAAGCGCAGTCC